ACAGAGAGAAATAGGCAGTCGGTGGGGATGGGATGATGGGTGGGTGGGATGTCGACCAGGTGGCACCTGAAGTGGGGATGCACGCGGGCGATAGAAATCGTGTGGTTTCCAGCCGGCCGCTCGTTGTCTCTAGATAGTGCGCGTGCATTTTTTAGAGCATCTCCAACAATGGTTGCAAAAAACGCGCGCGCGGTAAAATGAGATTTTAGCGCTCGCGGGACGGTTTCGCACGCTCCAGCGGAGGCGGGAAAATTGGGCACGCGGGAAACGATTGCGCGTAGGGGGAGAGGGGAAGCGGGCGGTCGCGCGCTAGATTTGGCGCGTCGCTTCCGGCGTGCCTATAAAATGCAGCGCCCGCCACACGTCGTTCATCGCTATCCACATCACCACGCGCCCTCTGCCGCTCTCTCCTCGCTCCCTCTACCGCTTTCTCGCCTCGTCGCCGACGCACCACCATGCCACCGTGCTGCCGGGGAGCTTCGGGCTACCGCGGCGTCTGCGTGCGCCCGTCCGGCACCTACTCCGTCGAGATTCCGTCCGGCGACGTGCGCCTTGGCCTCGGCACCTTCGACACCGCCCGCGAGGCCGCCCACGCGTACGACGCGATGGCGTGGCGCTTCCGGCGGTCCCGTTGGGACATGAACTTCCCGGACGTGCCGACGCGGGAGCGGGCACAAGAGTTGGCACCTCCCCCACGGCTTATCACCGATGAGGATGGTCGCGAGAATCGGAGGCGGGAGCGCCGTCTCAGCCTGGCCGAGATGGACGAGGAAGCCATGGCGTTGTGGCGCCAACACTTCCCAGAAGACGTCATTAACGAGCAACAGTTCTTCACCGAGAGGAGGGCAGAGAGGAAGGAGAGGAGGGCGGAGCGAGCCGCCTATCGCGAGAACAGGCGAACGCGGAAGGCGGCCATTGAATTCAACATCGCGCTAGGAGATGCGTCGTCCTGGGGCTCCAATGACGAGCGGTTGACGCCTTCATTCAGACATCGGAGGAGGACATCACCGAGGCGGAGTCCGAGTCGAAGGAGGACAACGGGTAGTAGTTTTTTGTTTTATCTATCTATCTATCGTAGGAGGAGCCTATGAACTATTATGCACTATCTATGTATCATTTTATATAATCTATCGTTTTATCTATCTATGTACTATCTATCTATCTTTTTTTATCTATTTATGTCTATAGAATCGGAGCCAAATGTGTATCGAGTCATAGTACCAAAAAGAAGAAATATAGCGCGTCTGTCGGAGCGGCTCGGGCGCGCTTTATTTTGCGGCGACCGCTGGAGTCAACGCACCGCCGCGCACAAAAGCTGGCTCACCCGAAATTGTATACTGTTTTTTAGCGCGCCGCGTGTTGCGCGTCTGTTGGAGATGCTCTTAGTTTTTAGGATTTTTATGAGATAAGTGTTTCAGGCTGGCTTCGGTGCCGACCTGCCGTCGTGAATCAGATTACTGAGACTGCTTGCCGTTTCCTCTGCCAGTAGGCCGGACTTCACTGCTTTCGTGAGCCAGATTATTCAAGACTAAGAGAGAGCGAGCTTTCCGCTTCCTCTGTAGGTGAGAACCAGATTCGTTATCTCACATTTTCTCTACGATTCCGCATCCGGTGCTACTGAATATGGAATCTGGTTACACGTCAAGTGGCTAGCACTCCGCGTAGCCAGTTTCAAACTGCATCCAAGGTAAGCCTTGATGATCTCCAATTCCGGCTCACGGAGTCACCGGTCGTACATAGACCACTGATACGCTGTTCACATTAGATCAAACGGACGCAAGTGGATCACTACTCTACACATGACGGAGTACTTGCATGGAACACTACTGATCAATTTACTATTCACATGTACTGTAGAGCAAGCATGGATGCAAGTAGCGGGCGCCCTATAAGTACGCGCCGGATGAATCACATAGATCACAGATTCAAACGTCTCAATCCACCTCACCATCCCAAGCCTCCCCCTGCATTACCACCATCTCGCTGCTTCTTGTGGCACGCCGCGCGCGGAGCTCATCATCCGTGGAGTGGCCGTCGCACCTGCCGGTGCCGCGAAAGGACGATCAGCGCGCTAGAGCTCCCCAGTGAGTTCTCCGTCATGGGTGGTACTACAAAATATATGTCTCCTCAGGCTCTGGGCACTCTCAGTTCCTCGCTTCCCCTGATGCTTGTGCTCTGCTCCCTTGTCCATGCATCATTAGGTGCTACGTCACTCCGAAAGGATTCTAGCACCGACTTCCATGCTCTCCGCTGCCTTAAACTCCATCTCAGCACTACTGCTGGACCCCTAGCTTCGTGGAAGAACGATTCACTGCAGTTCTGCGGTTGGTCCGGTGTTACTTGGAGCAAGAGACACGTGTCTCGTGTCGTTGCGCTGGACCTCGAGTCGTTTAATCTCGATGGCCAAATACCTGCTTGCATTGGCAACCTCACTTTCCTCACAAGAATGCACGTCCCCAACAATCAACTCAGTGATCAAATTCCACCTGAAATTGGCCAACTAAATCGGTTGCGGTACCTTAACCTCAGCTCAAACTATCTTAGTGGAGTGATCCCAAGCACTCTGTCTTCATGCTTTCACCTTCAAATTGTTGATCTTGGAAGCAACTCCCTTGATGGAGTGATCCCCCAAAGCCTGAGCCAATGTTCAGATATGCGGCAGCTCAACTTGGGTCACAACAAGCTCAGTGGAGGTATCCCGCAAGGATTGGGGATGCTCCGCAACTTCTCAGTTCTACATCTTGCTACAAATAGTCTGACGGGCAACATTCCAACTACACTTGGAAGCAGCTCTTCTCTTCGCTCTGTTGTTCTTGTGAACAATAGCCTCACTGGACAGATCCCGCCTCTCCTCGCTAATAGTTCATCCCTTCAACTTCTGGACTTAACAAACAATCGCATGAGCGGGGAGATACCTTCTGCGTTGCTTAACAGCATGTCGCTTCAAAAATTATCACTAGGAATGAACAACTTTGTCGGGTCCATACCAGCTTTGTCGAACATTGGCCCACCCTTGCAATATCTTAAATTACAATCAAACAATCTTTCTGGCACCATACCTTCTTCTTTAGGGATTTTTTCTTCGCTTCGCTACCTCTTGCTTGGAGATAATAATTTCCATGGTAGAATCCCAATGAGTATAGGCAATATTCCGTACCTGAGAGTACTAGATCTCACTTATAATTCTTTGTCTGGGACAGTCCCTGACACTCTTTACAACATATCATCACTTACATACCTTGGCATGGGTATGAACATACTTGTAGGGGAAATTCCATATAACATCGGATATACCCTTCCAAACATCCACACTTTGATCATGCAAGGAAACAACTTCACAGGACAAATCCCCATTTCAATAGCCAACACAACCAATCTTCACGTGATCAACCTCCGCGACAATTCATTTCATGGTATTGTTCCTTCTTTTGGGACTCTTCCTAGTCTAGTAGATCTGAATCTAGGCTGGAACCAACTTCAAGCAGGAGATTGGTCTTTCTTATCCTCATTGACTAATTGCACACAACTGGAGAAGTTGCGCTTGGATGCAAACAACCTTGAGGGTGTCTTGCCCAATTCCATTGCAGGCCTTTCAAAGAGCTTAGAGTTATTGTTATTAAGATCAAATAGAATATCTGGCACTATACCTTCGGAGATACAGTACTTGACAAGCCTCAGACGTCTTTACATGGAACGAAATTTGCTTACTGGAAATCTTCCTGAATCAGTTGGAAATCTTTCCAACTTGTTTGTCTTAAGCTTGTCTCAGAACAAACTTTCCGGATCAATTCCACTTTCTGTCGGTAAACTGAGTCAACTGAGTGAGCTCTATTTACAGGAAAATAATTTTAGTGGCCCTATCCCAGGAGCTTTAGCAGGTTGCAAGAAGTTAGAAAAACTAAACCTCTCTTGTAACAGCTTTGATGGGAGAATACCAAAGGAGTTGTTTTCTCTTCCCTCCCTTTCCCAGGGTTTGGACTTGTCCCACAACCAACTCTCTGGACAGATACCTCCGGAGATTGGCAGCCTGAAAAATCTTGGGTCACTGAATATTTCCCATAATCAACTGTCTGGACAAATACCCCCCACTCTAGGTCAGTGCGTCCATCTGGAGTCCCTCCACATGGAGGGTAACCTCTTTCATGGGAAAATCCCTCACTCCTTCATAAGTTTGGGAGGCATCATTGAGATGGATCTATCTCAAAACAATTTATCAGGTGAAATCCCTGACATCTTTAAGTTCTTTAAGTCTATGAAGCTTCTCAATTTGTCCTTCAACAATCTCGAGGGTCCTGTACCAGCAGATGGAATATTTCAGAATGGAAGAAAGGTTTTTATTCAAGGGAACATGAAGTTATGTACCAGCACGCGATTGCTACAGGTGCCATTTTGCAATGCAGAGGCATCCAAACAAAGGAATAGCTCCAGCATTCTCAAGATAGTAGGATTTACAGTTCTTTCTTTGGTCCTGTTATCATGCTTTGCAACCATTATTTTCAAGAAGAAAAAGAACTTCAAACAAGCAGCTCATCCATCCTCCAAAGAGTTGAAGAAGTTCACATATGCTAATTTAATGAGGGCAACAAAATGGTTTCTCATCAGATAACTTGATCGGTTCAGGAAAATATGGGTCTGTGTACAGAGGTAGAATTGAATTTGAAGAACATGAAGTTGCCATCAAAGTTTTCAAACTCAATCAACTCGGAGCACCAAAAAGCTTCATTGCTGAGTGTGAAGCATTGAGAAATACTCGTCACAGGAATCTTATAAGGGTGATTACTGCATGCTCAACCATTGATCCAACAGGACATGATTTCAAAGCTATTGTTCTTGAATATAGTGTTAACGGCGACCTGGGAAGTTGGCTCCATCCAACAGTCCATGAGGATGGTCAGAGAAGGCCATTGAGTTTCGGTACAAGAATAGTAATAGCAGTGGACATAGCTGCTGCTTTGGATTACCTCCATAACCAATGTGTGCCTCCTATGGCACACTGCGATCTGAAGCCTAGCAATGTCCTTTTGGATGATTTCATGGGCGCACGTGTTGGAGATTTCGGGTTGGCTAAGTTCCTGCATAGGTACACTTCTTCGGACATTCATACTTCTACAAGCTTAGTGGGGCCAAGAGGATCAGTTGGATACATTGCCCCAGGTAATATTTTCTAAATAGAAGATGCTTTTTTTTAATTAAAAAGAATGCAAGTTGTGTTAATTGATTGTTTGAATGACTTATGCATACTGCAGAATATGGATTTGGGAGCAAAATCTCCACTGAGGGCGATGTATTTAGCTATGGAGTCATCATCTTAGAAATGCTAACAGGAAAGCGTCCAACCGATGAGATGTTTAAAGATGGCCTGACCCTTTACAAATTTGTTGAAAAATCATTTCCTCAAAAGATTGAGGAGATTCTAGACCCTAGAATAGTTCCAGGTTATCGAGGTGAAGGTGAAGATGCAGGCAGTAATTCAGACCGGGAACCAATGGTTGCAATGAGCTGCATCATAAAGCTCATGGAGCTTGGGTTGCTGTGCTCTGCAGACACACCTAAAGATCGGCCAACTATGCAGGACATATACAATGAAGTTATCGCAATCAAAGAATCATTTCCAGCATTGCAGGGCTGAGGAAAAGGAAAATGCATGATCCTTGAAGAAGAGTAGTTTACATTTCTTGACTAAATTGTCCAAAAGGAAAAGTCTATTGTGAAGCTTTTCCTAGCCTGCTCCTCCCTTGTATCTTGTGATTTTTCTTTTACATTGTCGCACCTTGCGACACCACTGTAAATCTTACGCACCTTAATATAATGAAGCAGCCCAGCTGCATTCGTCCAAAAACAAAGTCTATTGTATATGCAAATTTCAACCAATCCCTGTCTTGCTCTGTTTTTTTCTGACACCTCAAACTAGTACTCTCTCCGATCCAAAATAAGTGTCGCAGTTTTGAACTAAGGTTGGATCGGAGGGAGTACTATTTTTTTTTCGTTTCTATGTCTTTCAATTTGCCTGCTATTGCCAGGCATGCATATATTGCTCTATGCTTAAAAGGGTGCATTTGTACTTACCATGAAGATTAAGATGGTTAAAAGTAGCACGGCAGTAGATAAAGGTAGAAAGTCCATTTCAAATCCCAGAAATACTGAAGCCCGTCATTTACAAAACTGGTTATATAATCTTAACGCCTTTAGTATTTGAAAACCAGGTTAAATTTCCCTAAGGCCTTGTTCGTTTAGTCCCGTCCCCGCCGGTATTGGGCCAAAACCCGGCCGATCCGCGTGGGTTTAGCCCCGGCCTGGTTTGGATCCCGTTCTGTCTTATATGCGTCTTCGGTTGGACCCGGTCTGGGCCAAATCCCCCCGTAACCCCGTGGAAATCGCCGGGAAGTGACCCACGCGGTCCATCCCGTGGAAACAAACCCTGTCACGAAACGTTACGCGACCCCTCTCTCTCGCCCCGACCTTCCCTCCCTCCCTCCTTTCGACGCCGGCGGCGCTGGAGACACATAGCGACGGCGCGGTTCCTCCTTCCCCTTCTTCTCCCCTTTTCAACTGTCGGGACAACAGCGAAGCAGCACGAGCTCGGCGGCGACCCAGACAGCCATGGAGCCCGGCCGAAACCCTAGCTGGACTTCGACCAATCTCCCCCGCCGCCTCACGCCGGAGAAGAGGAGGTCGCCGGCGACAAGAACTTCAGGTTGGCTCTCTCTCTC